TATTAATTTCATATATTATTAGATTCTTTATAATAAATTTATTAAATAAAAATTAAAAACATGAATTAAAATTGCATTATAATAATAATATTTTTAAATTTATAATATATTTCATAAATTATCAAAGTCTTATCATAATGATATTACATTGATATGGTTATGATAAGGTTACGATATGGATAATGATATTGAATTGAGGTTGATACAATATCGAATTGATAATGTCGTGACGATAACAATTCGATATTAAAATATCATTGTAAAGGTATGGATTCAATGTAGAATCCTTATTCTTATGATAATACAAATGATATGAATTTGATGTAGAATCCATACTTTTACGATAATATTTTGATATTGAATTATTATTGTCACAATATTATCGATTCGATATCACATCGACATCAATTCGATATCATTAACCATATCGTAACCTTATCGTAACTAGCATAGCGAACTTAATTCTGATTGGTTGATTTTTAAAATGATCGTCACATATAAAATTTATATAAAAATGTTGATCATCTAACTTTAAATGGATTTGCAGTCACAGGGATAAATTCGCAAGGGTTGCGATAAAAAAATTTCTAAAATGTAAGTTCCGCTTTATAAACTGTCAAAATAATTTGGTAGTCTGCGAGGTAATTCAGAAGTTAACTAAGAAAAGTTTTTTTTAATTGTTGCCATAAACAGCTTGTTACAATAGAAATAGACAAAAAATGGTCCCACAAAACCCCTACAGTGAAGAAATACCTCTTTCAAACGAAAAAAAAAAGAAAAAGGAAGGCATAGCATTGTGATTTTGAGGGTAAAGATGATATCGTCTGCAATTATGAACAGTTTGGTGCATCTCTTATATCGGATCAAGTTACAATCCCAAGTTTAAGCCAACATTTGGACTTGGTTGGCAAAGCATTATGCCAGAAACACTATAATCGGTTAATAGTAAATGCAAAAAACCCAAAAACCAACACATGTTCACATCCAAAACATGCTTTATATAGGTCTACAGCCAGAAACAATAAAGAAGGAAAGAAATTCAAAAAGACTCCAGAACGGCTTATTAAATTTTTTAAATTACAACCAGAGGCGAAAATGTGTCATCATTGCTTATATGAAACTGATAAAGATCCCAATTATATTAATCTATTAGAATACCCATCAGCAAAAGAGAGGATTTTGAAAGAAAATTTAAGACAGGTTAAAGGTAGGTCATATGTTATGCGTAGTGATGTTATTTATTCAGAAGCTAAATTTCAGGAACTGGAAGCTGCATATAATGACATATATGCAGAGCTTAATGAAGCAAAATTAGGTAAGCAAATCATTTTTTGCTTATAGCCACATTTTGAACTTCTTTCTTATATAATTTTTTTTTAGAATTAATTCCTCTTAATAAGAAAATCAAACTAATGGCGGAAGTGTTATATACAAGGCAACGAGTGTATAACGAAAAACCTATTTTGGATCCGAAAGAGTTCACGAAAATGCTGGAGGAGGCTGAGCTGTCATTGAAAGGGTTTTTCAATCAATTGGTAGCTGGAACTAACCCGCAAGCTAAGAATAATATGACTAATGAAAGAAATAAGAAAAGATTGGTTTCATTTTGCTATTTTTTAGTAGGACTTAATAATAAATTTATTAACGGAATCAAAGCGGAAGTTGGATTTTTATTAGATGCATCTGGAATTTCTTCATCGGTCATAGAGACACTAGCTGGTGTAGGCTTAATAGTAAGACGTATAACCATTACAAGACAGAAAACTCAATATTCAAAAGGGCATACAATGACAGTGGGAAAGTTTTTAACTAATAATGTAAGTATATAAAGATGTTTAAAGGTTTTTTTTTTAAAATTAAAATTAAATCATTTATTTTAACGGAATCATCTATTTTAATAGAATGAAAGCTTAGTCATCCTAAACGTAGATGATTTTCACAATATCCATGAGTATTGTCGTAGTAATGTAACAAATACTCATGATATTGCACATTTTGTTACAATACTTTTAAAAGCTTTGCCAGAAGTAACATCTATTCCATTTTACAATCCCGATAATCAAGAAAAGAATATCCATAATGAAGTGGGTATTGATACAGACATTATTATATCGAATGTTTACTCATTTTTCTTTCCTCATTTATGGCTTAGTTATACAAGACGAAAGCAAGCATTTGCTGATTTAATACCCGCATTAGAGACCAATGATGAACGAATTGAGCGACTCTTAATTCACAGTTATAATGACAGGATTAAACAACGTTGTACTGATCGAAGTATGGAAAATACAAAATTAGTTGACCTCAAAGAAGGTTCTCTTAAATCTACTGAGGATTATATAAATGCAATTAAGCATTTGATGAAGACTCCTAAAATGAAAACCTATATGGAAACACAAGTATTAGTAGCGCCTATAGACTATCCTGGCCAACTTCATATTCAGCGTGCTATTACTCATCATATCAAAACTGGAGATTCTTCTGGAATACCAGAACAAATTCTACATATTGTTCTAATAATTGGTCCTTTACATGTATCCTTAAATAGTCGTGAAACTGTTTTTCTTTTAAATTATCAGTTCTTCAATAAGCTTTTTCATAACATATTTAGAAATCGTAAGGTATTGGCTAAAAAGCCAAAACCTTATAAAATTAATTTACTTTTAGAACTAGCATTTCAGGGTTGGTCTCGTGTGCGTTTACTGATTCTATGAAAATTTGAACGGTCTAAAGATTTAGAAGCCTAATATTTTATCAACTTGCTAGATAATATTATCCCATTAGTTTTAGATTTTTATCCCATCATATTTCGTAGTGGAAATTGGATGGCATGCAAAAAAAGCATGTTTCGTATTTGGGCTATCTTTTATTAATATCAGCGTCAACATTATAACAAATTACCACTAGCATTTCTGAGTGATGTTTTTTTTTGGTCTAATACTAATCATACAATCTTACATATTTTCTCAGATTCTCTTCATATTTTCAATGACTATTATGTGGAAAACTTTCATAGTTCTCTTCGGCGACAAATTCAAGAATCAAACACAGCAGACCAAATTATTCAACAGGCACGAGTGACTGATCAAATGCGTGGTGATAACTCATTTACTAATACATTTTCTGAAGATTATAATATCAGATATTCGGCTAAACAATTAGAATATCTTGAAAAGAGTACCGCACTTTTTTTATTAAATCTTTTTACAGGTGTATATACAAATATTGACAAGTCGAAAGCTATTTCATCTGATAAATATTCAAAATCCAAATTGTTTGAACTTCCAACGCTAGAAGCTAAAGTTGATATTAAGGTATTATCAATGGCTTGGAATACAAAACACCCTCCTCGAGATGATAAATGCTGTGATTTAGAAGATTGTATAGATTCTAATGAGGTAAAGTGCATTTTAATTTGTGGGCATGCTTATCATTTCGAATGCTTTTTACTCAAGTTAGAGAATCAATGCTGATATTGTGGTGATTTTCTTATAAGCGGAATTAAGAATAATTGCAAAGCTTTTCAAAAAACTTTGGATTCATCTAGTAAAATAAAGATAAATGAGGATGTAAATGAAAAGGGTAGTACTAAAACTAATGATGATACTAATATTAGTATTGAAGATCTTTCTTTAAAGAATAATATAGATTTACTTATTGAAACAGCTATAAATATGTTAACGAGTTCATAATTAAAAAGAATTATTATAAAATAGAATTAATAAATTGTAAACTTTTGAATATCATAATGCATATTATTTAATGTATTATATTTTTTATATTTATTTATTATTTTTTTTAAAAAAAAAATCATACAAATAAAATAGTATAATAGTTATAATAAAATTTTTTTAAATATCATTTTATCAACCAATAATATTTTACGAAAATTAATCACGTGATCTACAAAATTAGCCAATCATAACAAAAGTTCGCTATGCTACCCTAGATACATTTTAAGGTTAAATGATCGGCCAATGAAAAACATCGAATTCCTAAAGTAGGACATTTCGATAATTTTAGTAAACAAGTACGGTATTACAAGAGCACCAATAAGATAAGTTGATCAACGTGTTCGATTGGTTCCCTTGAAACCTTTTTTTTTTTCGTGGTAACCCTTTTATGGTAACGTTTTTAATTAAATTGAACGGAAATAATGCAGGGGATGTTTTATTTAAGTTATTCAAATCGATTTTTTCGATCAATAAAATCAATAAATTGATGTTTATATTTTGTGTAAATAACCTTTAACTAATAACAATGTTTCCTATAATTAAATATCGCACAGAAAAGAAATTTACACTTAAGATTCATTATTTAAATTTTTTTTCCCTCTTTTTTACTACCATTTCCTTTTTTCCCAACTGGAAATTTCCGTTCTCGTTTTTCCTTTTTTTTGTTTTATTATTATTATTATTATATGACTTAAAAATCTTTTCGAAAAAAAAAAAAAAAATAGTAAAAGGAGAAAAAAAAAAATAAAAAAACAAAAAATTTCTTAAGGATTACGTAACAAGCTACAAATTAACTCGAAAAAAGGCGGATAGCCAAAAGTTTTACCTTCCGACAATATATATGTATGCAAGATAATTATTGTTTATATACTATATACTGTAAGCGAATTCTTTGTTAAAATTAATTGAAGATAAGATTTAAATCGAGATAATTAAAAAAAAAGAAGTATATATATGATGAAAAGTATTCAAATGATGGAAGTAGAGTTTAAACACTCTGACTTTATCTCGACGCATACAACTTCGAGCTCAATAGATGATTCTGAATTGGGTCAAAGACTTGAATTATATGGAACTTGTAAAGAATGTCAACATCCGAAACTTAATGAAGAATGGTGTTCGAAATGTAACAATGAAAGGTTCGAAGCAAGGTTTGAAACGTGGACGAGTGAGAATAAAGATATCGATAAATTTATCTCTACGATACAATTAACCGCCACCAATTATTATCAAATATTGGAATGGATTCCATGGAAACGTTTATTGGAAGTCAAACATATTGGCATTGGCAGGTTTGGTTCCGCCTATTCCGTAACTTGGTTAGATGGTTACATCACTCATTGGGATCATTCAAAGCGTGAATGGGGAAGGAGTGAAGCCGGAAAAAAATTTTATGTTAAAGTCCTTCAAGGTTTATCGACCGACTTTGCGAATTTTGTTAATGAGGTAAAATGATTTCACTGGTTTCATTTTTTCTTTTTTAAGACGCCTTCTTAAATTTTTATACATGTAGTTGCTATCACATCAAAATGGGAAAAATGGTTTGATTCGATGTTATGGAATAACTCAAGATCCGGTCACTAAAGAATACGCACTGGTCATTCGCTGTATTGAAAGAGATTTGAAGAGTTATTTATACAGTTCGTTACCTTATCCCGAATATGATTGGAAAACAAAGTTAGAGATTCTTGCCGATATCGCTTTTGTTATCAACCGTATACATGATGCAGGTTTCATTCACAAGAACCTTCACACGGGAAATCTAAAACGATTAATGAATAGCACAATATTAACCGAAATAAGCCTGAACAATCACGGTGATGATTCACCAACACTATCACATTCCAATGGGGTTTACGGGGTACTTCCTTATGTTGCGCCAGAAGTATTACGAGGGGGGATAATCAATAAAGCGGCAGATATATATAGCCTTGGTATGGTAATGTGGGAAGTGGCGGTTCAAAGACCTCCATTTGACTTGAATGCTCATGATAAACTATTAGCTCAAAGGATTTGTTGCGGGTTAAGACCTCATATTAATAATTCGATGCCAAAATCTTTGGCCAAATTAATTAAAAGATGTTGGGATGCAAACCCATTAAATCGTCCTGAGGCTGAAGAAGTTTATATCTGGGTACAATGGTGGTTGGATTTATGTAATGATACCACTTCTGATATTGCGGCAGAATTTAATATTGATGGCGAAAGAAGGCAAAAAGATGGAAATTTTTTCACACATCCTGAAGCTATTTATACAAAACGTCTTTTGGATTTTCCAAGTTTACCGGAACCTGAAAATTTTTCTCCAAGTACTTATCATCAAATGGTTTCATTTTGCGCAAGACTTCAAAATACTTCGGAACCTGAAAGTCATTGGAGTGTTAATAACAGCTCGGATATATTTAGTAAGTTGCAATCCCGTAGAGGAAATTTTTGGCTTAAAGTTATTTTATAACACGTTAAATGAATCTGCTTCTTAAAATAGAATTCGGGTCGCAATTATCGCGTCCGCCTTCAATTTATGCAGAAAATAACAAGGACAGCCTGGTCCTTACCCCACCTCCTCATAAGGTTAAAAATGAACTCTTGTTGGAATATAGTATTCCCGGGGCTTATATCGGTATGAACAAAAACCATTCCTTTTACCGAATTGCATGAGTTATACACATTCTTACTTAAAATCCATTTTTTTTTAATCATATAGCTGACAATATAGAGGTTATTGACAACTGGGACGGTAATACATATATATAAATATATTTCACTTTTCGCAAGGTTATGATTAATTCTAACGTTGCTTTCTTTCTTTTATTATAGATGTTGAAGCATACATTTATCACGTTGTAATGATCCTTATACCAAACGCATTCACAATTATCTTCCCCGACATTACAAAACATTATAAAAGTTTACCATTTTATATTAGGATCAGTTTTCTATCATTAATGTTTTATTCAATCTTTGCTTCTATATGGAGCGTCGTTAGATTATTTCTTCTCTTCTTATTTCTTCATTAATATTAATAATTTTTGTTTTTTTTTTTTCTTTGATAAAATATAAAATATGTATATTATAATTATATTGTGTAATAGAATTTTTTTCCAACCAATAAAAATTGATTTGTAAATCACGTGATTTATATCTTAGCGTAACACGATTACGTACATAATTCTCGTTAAAAAAAAAGTTCAAAAAAAAAAAAATAAAATAAAATAAAAGAATCAACTAACCAAAATGTTCAAGTCAAATTAAAAATTCTCGAAAATTATATCACGAAAGAGAATTAATTTATTTTATTATTATTATTAATATTTTTACTCTGACTTGAACTTGAAATCTCTGTTATGAGTTTCTACTCTGATTACGACTTAAAATATTCATTCTTCAAAAAAAATTCTCTATTTAGATATTTACGTGATGGCTTCAATACTTTCTGATGGTTCATTAACCGATGTGTCTTCCTTGAGTTCACCTTCTTCGGATTCATATGATAGTTCGGGGAATTCTTCACCAAACGTAAAGTTACGATATCAAAAGGGAGAAGAAGCATTATGTTATCATGGTCCCACAGTATATGTAGCGCAAATCTTGGACACGAGGATATTATACACGAGCAAAGTGGGAGAAGTAGGACCACAATATCACGTACATTACAAAGGATGGAATAAGAAATGGGATGAGTGGGTACCCGAATCAAGATTACTTAAGAAAACTCAAGAAAATATAGACATGTATATGATGCCAAGGAAACATTTTATAATGGAACCATCAGAACACGATTTGATTGATAATATTGATAATAATAAAAGAAGATCAAAAGAAGATGAAAGTGATTCTGAAGGATGTGGAGATAAGAAGAATCCAAAATTACGTTCGAAAAGGATTAGATTATCCGTTGATATATCTATCGAGGAAAAAGTTAGGATGGTCGATGAATGGCAATGGGTGACTAAAAATCAATTAATTATACATCCCATGCCAAGAGAAAAGACAGTTGATGATATCTTAAAGGAATTTCTTGATTGGTATTTGGAAAGGTTAAGAGAACGTAATAAGATTACCAAACAGCAAGAGTTGGACGTGGAGGATGATGTAGAAGATTTTAAAGAATTCTTTAATGAGGCCCTTCCGGTCAATCTACTTTATCGTTTCGAACGACAACAATTTGTTGAATTAGTAGAAAAATATCCCGAACTTTCTTATTCTTCAATTTATGGTGCAGAACATTTAATGCGCCTTATTGTAAAGATTCCAGATCTTGTATTTTCCGTACAAATGAAGGAAGAAAAGGCTGAGGAGATACAGGTTTTAATCAAAGAGATGATAGAATTCATTCAACTCAAATGTAAAACTTATTACGCAGCTCAATATGAGCCTGCTGATCCTGCTTACATCAGAATCATCTGGGAATACTAGTGGGAGGACTACAGGGATACAAATTAGTTTGATATTAACACGTATTAATTTCAAAGTGTAGTATTGGAAGATAAAGCATGCAATAAAATATCTCGTTAGAGATTGATTTATTTGCATAATGTAAATATATTTTCGTTATTATATTCCCTTACGTCTCTTGTATTCTTTTATAATTATTTGGTATTCGCTTCAGAAATTAAAGCTTTAATTTACTCTTTTATTTTTTATTTTTTATTTAGTACTTTATTATATGATGATTCATCATGTACAAGTTACATCGATTGTGGAGTATGGGCATTGAAAAAACTTCCCATTATTAAAATTTTTTTTCTAGTGATGTTTTTTTTTTATTGTAAAACAATTTCTTTGCTATTGTAAATAAATAAAATAAAAATAAAAATAGTAATGGACACGTTGATGTTCTTTTATCAAACGATTGATTTAAATATTTTTGAAAGAGAATATAATAGAAATTTCTAAATACGTAATACGGTGTAAAATTTTTAGATTAAAATAGTCAAGAACGTTAAAAATACGACGCTATAAATACGATAAAAATAAATAACATAATAACGTATAAGAACAGTGGTAAGATTTTAGGTGTAGATTTTAGGTTACATATATTACTAAATAAGGTGAATAAGGTGATTAATTCAACTTGTGGCTGAGGTTACGTATTTCGCATTAAACCGCAGTATGAGAGGAGAGTCGCGTGAAAAATAAAGACACACATTGTGGATTTATTAGTCGTTTGTGTAAAAATCGAATGTGTTGTGTTTAAGTAACGAAATGAATTTTTTTTTAAAAAAAATCGAGTAAGAGTATCGTCATAAGTAAAGATTTAGTAGAAAGAAGTACCCCCGAAAAATGGGGTCGCGATCTGATTATATTGGTTGTTTTGGTTGCCGGCGAGCAAATTTTGCGATGGTAAACGAGACATTAAATTAGAAAAAGTATTTAAAGTAATTAATAACTCTAAAAAATTATTGTATTGTTTCAACATAATTCTTCTTCTTCTTCTTTTATTGACATAATCATTTTTTTTATTAGAGAACATCATTATTATTTTTTATGTAACAAAAAAGGAATTATTTTTTTTTCCGACAAAGAAAAAAAAACATCCTTTCTGAAGAGTATTTATACTTTTTATTCCCGTGCAATAGATGCTAACTTTTGGTATTCCCACCATTTACCCGTATATTAAAAACATGTGATGATTTATTAATTGTTGTTTTCTCTTTTAAGTTAGGTAAAAATTGTTTTCTCCTTTTGGCAAAAAGTAAAAAATAGTTTCCCGATTCCACAATAATTAACTTTGAATTATTTTGTAACACAAACAAATAATAGTATTAATTAAAAATAATGATCTTTGTTGGAACTTCATTTAAAAAAAATAGGGGTAAAATAACGCCAAAATCCGTTTATTTAATCATCAAGAACCATACGAAACTTTCGAGTACGCACGTACCCCTTGTTCGTTATTCCTTTGGGAGCGTGGTAAAACTTGACCTAAATTAGAAAGATTTGAAAAACATCCGAGCCATTTCCAAAGTTGATCGTTACAAACATTTCGACCAATAAAATTTGCGATCAAAATTCGCTTTTTCGATCAATCAAAAAACGCAGATCGTTTTGATCATGTTTATTGATACAAGATGTTGAAAATTGATAGAATTCATTCGCGTTATTATTTTAAATCTATTATCATCATATTTTGGTAAAATGTTATGATACCAGTCTTTTGATTTTATTACATTATAATTTCTTTTCTCTAAATATCGTGTTCCAAGTAATGAAGTCAATCTAAGCATTACACTTGAATTATCTTCATTTTCGAGTAAATCTTTATCCTCTACATTTTGAAAAGCTTGAATTACATAAAAAGAAAAATTTTTTATTTTTTTATGGTCCGACATTAGATAAAAAATTATTTTTAAATTAAATTTCGATCATAAATTTTGATTGGTTACTGGATTTGACCGATTGACGATTCAATAAATTTATTCACGTGACATAATTCTTCATAGTTTTACGCGAATATCAATCGCGACGAACCCGCATGCTTAAAAAATCACACTCGTAATGTAATATACTCTCAAATACCCCATTTTCGATTCGTATATTTGTTATTAGTTAGTTTTTAACTTTCTAGCAAGACTGCAAAATTACTTTGCAGATTTCGTCAGAAAAATTTGGTATTCAAACTACCAAGTCAAGAATGCTGTCGGGATTTCAGATAAATTTAGTTATATAAGGTGAGTAACGGAGACTTCTTAAATTAACAAGATGCTTGCTTAGGGTATTAAAATTTTCAAAATATATATGAGAATATTGTGACAAAATTTTGTTTTGGATTCCTTTGTATAATCTTTGGAATTTTGACGAAGTTTCCAATGGGTAAATGCATTTTTGTTGGATTTATATTTTTAAGATTTGATGGTTATATGTTAGGGTTAAGATAATTTTAGTAGAAAGACCGATTAATTCATATTCAGTATCAAACGTATTTATATTATTGATACGATGTCTGATGGTGAAGAAGATTTTTTTATTAATGTTTCTTATATTAATCAAGTAGGAAATAATCAGTACATTTCAGGGAACTGAACATAGAAACATTGAGGTAATGTTAAAATAAAGTTAATAAGGATTATAAAGAAAATTATTTTTATTTATGATGGATCAATTTAACTGATAAAATAATTTTCTATTATTGATAGAGAAGAGAGCCGAGAGTTGTATCAATATAAGAAGTATTTGAAGAATTGAATGTAAGAATTATTCAAATTGATCAGATCATAGCGTATTTGTTTTTTTTTTATTTATTATATTAAACAAAAAAATTTATTCTTATTAGAATATATAATTGATCATTTTACAATTCTTCATTCTTTTTTTTAATGCTATTCGTTATTCACAATCTATTTTAATATTTATTTAATTATATATTACAAAATCTTACTAAAAAAAGTACAATTTGATGCAACATAGAAAATTCATTTTGTTATCTAAGATTAAATATCTCACAACTTCCTTTTAAAAATCAAATTTATATAAGAGATTTTGTTCAATTGTGATATTAGGTGGAATTGGGAAATTCAGCTATATAAGAGTTGTAGTTATATTAGATTTTGCGATGACTTTCGGTAGTGTTGTAATATCTTTGTAAGGCGTTTTTAAATTTTAAAATTAAGAAAACTTTTTTATTCGAAATGATAAATAATTTTATTTACAAGATTTATTTTTTATTTATTTTTAGTACTTTATCATATGATGATTCATCATGTACATATACAAGATACATCGATTTGGAGTATGGACAATGAAAAAAAAACTTAATTATTAAATTTTTTTTTTCTAGTGATGAGGGGTTTTTTTTTATTGTATACCAATTTCTTTGCTATTCTAAATAAATAAAATAAAAAATCAATAATGACACGTTGATTTTCTTTCATCAAAACTATTGATTTAAATATTTTTGAGAGAATATAATAGAAATTTCGTAAAACGGATGACTTAAAATTTTCAGATTCAAGAACGTTAAAAATACGACGCTATAAATACGATAAAAATAATCTAACAGACTAGGGTGGAGATCTTAGGTTACATATATTAAATAAGGTGATTAATTAACATTTATTCTGGCTAAATATAAACGTCTAGTACATTATTTACTGTGGCGAGGTTACGTATCCGCAGGAAGACCGCAGTGCATGAGCGAGTATAAAGCCACACATTGTGGATTTAATTGGTCGTTTGTGTAAAATCGAAGCGTGTTTTGACAAATCGAACGTTTTGTGTTTGTTTAATTTCAGAAGTTCTTTTTTACATTACGTAACGAAATTATTTTCTTTTAAAAAAAAAAAAAAAAAAAAACTCGAGTAGGAAAGGAAAGGATAGATAGATTTAATAGAAAGAAGTACCCCCGAAAAATGGGGTCGCGATCTGATTATATTGGTTGTTTTGGTTGCCGACGAGCAAATTTTGCGATGGTAAACGAGACATTAAATTAGAAAAAGTATTTAAAGTAATTACTAACTCTAAAAAATTATTGTATTGTTTCAACATAATTCTTCTTCTTCTTCTTTTGTTGACATAATCATTTTTTTTATTAGAGAACATCATTATTTTATGTAGTAAAAAAAAAGAAAAAAAGTGTAATTCGGGAATTTTTTTTTCCGACAAAGAAAATAACAAATCCTTTCTGAAGAGTAGGAGAGCGGGGAGGTGGTATTTTATACTTTTTCCTATGCAATAGTTGCTAACTTTTTAGAATCTCCCCTCTCATCATTTTACCCTTATATTAAATCATGCGATGATTGATTTTATTGTTGTATTTCTTTTTTTAAGTTAGGTAAAAATTAATTGTCCCTTGGCGAATTTGTGACGTTTTGTTAGTTTAGAAAATGCTGAAATTAAAAGCTTGCATGATCAGTGTTCAAATCTTTCCTGATTTAGGTCGAGTTTACCACGCTTTCTCTTATATGACTTTATCGATATATTTCATGCCCAAAAATGGCGTTTTTTTCCAACAAATGCGTATTACCTCGTACTAACTCTCGGACGAAGGTAACCTGCATAATATACTAATTATAACGTGTGTACTTGAAGTATTCGAAAGTTCCGTCCTAGAAAGTTCGGTTTCAAATGTATGATTCTTTTCTAGATGTTTGCCCCTATTTTTAACCTATTGGAAAAAACGTTACCTTTATTACGACAAAGATCTTTGATGGGATCTGCATAACTTCTTTAAATATAGAGATCTAATTATTATATGAGCTAATCATTAGACTACTTATTTTTTATTACATATAAATAATAACTTGAACAATTTACCAACGTTTTGCCTCGGTAATAAATTTATAATAATTTAGGCCGAGAATTCCTACCAACCTTCAAAAATAAATTACAACTAGAAACATCAAAATCCTTCCCTACATAGCGATTCTCATCGCTGATCTTGGAATCTGATCATAGTAACGATTAAGGTAATAAATATAATAAGAAACAATTTTTTATTTATGATGGATCAATTTAACTGATAAAAGAATTAATTTTCTATTATTGATAGATTGATAGAGAAGAGAGCTGAGAGTTGTATCAATATAAGAAGTATTTAAAGAATCGAATGTGAGAATTAGAGTAGAATATTCAAATTGATCAGTTAATAGCGTATATTATCAAGTTTTTTTTTTTAACCATTTATTTAAACAAAAAAAAAAATTTTTTATTAGAATATATAAATGGTCATTTTAATCATTATTTAATGCTATTCGTTGTTCAAATATTTATTTAATTTTAGATATTACAAATCTTACTTAAAAAAGTACAATTTATTGCAACATAAAAATTTCATTTTGTTATCTAAGATTAAATATTTCACAACTTCATTTTAAAAATCAAATTTATAGAAGAGATTTGTTCAATTGTGATATTAGGTGGAATTGGGAGAAATTAAGCTGTCGTGAGTTATTTTAGAGTGTATTGCAAATTCAGCTGTTAATTGTTCGATTTTGCGATGAATTCGGTAGTGTCATGTGTATAATATCTTTGTAAAGTAAAACTTTTTATTAGAAATGAGAAATAATTTTATTTACAAGATTTTTTTTTTTTTATCAATTAGATATTTTCAAACTTTTTTTAATTACTTTTCGGAAATGAGATGAGGGTGTTCTTTAATTTAAATAAAGTATAATACCGGAAATGGCTTCATTCTGATAAATAATCAAGTCTTGAGGTTTGATCATAAATATAAAACAAGATATGATTAATATACACCCCAGATAAATTAATACTTTTAAATATGTAAAATAATAAATCTATTTGTGATTTCTTTAAAAGCATTCTTTAATGAGGCTCTTTCGGTCAATCTGCTTTATTGTTTCGAACGACAGTAATTTGATGAAATAGTTGAAAAATATCCGAACTTTCTTATTCTTCGATTTATGATCATACATTTATTTTCAATCTGAGCAACCAAGGAAACAGCTTTGGCTTGCTTATCAGCAATTTGTCATGATATTTAACTAGTCTTTTCTAATTCAAAAACAGCCTTAGTGTAATAATTATTATTACATAAATCATATCTTGATGCAGAATATTTAATACATCTTATTGTAAGATCCTAGATCTTGTATTTTCCGATATATATATGAAAGAAGAAAAAGCCGAGAAGATATAGGATTTGATCAATAAGATGGTAGAAATTATTCAACTCAAATGTAAAACTTATTAGCTATTGGGAAGATTAATGGGAAGATTACATAGATTAATTTAATAAGAACGTGTTATTTCTTCAAATCTATTGATTTAAATAGTTTTGAAAGAGAATACACGGCTTAAAATTTTTAGATTCAAAAAACAAGAACGTTATATATTACTAAATAAAGTGATTAATTAACATTTATCTGGGGAAAATGGTAACTCTAAATATAACCAGCATCGAATATTATACCGCAGTATAAATGCATGAGCGAGTCGCGTGACAAGTAAAGCCACATATTGTGTAATAATAATGTTCGTGTTCGAATCGTGTTTTGTCGAATGTTTGTTTGTTTAATTTCAGATGTTTCTTTTTACTTTACGGTAACGAAATTATTTTTTTTAAAGTAAATAATTCGAATAAAAGTACTCGTCATTAAAGGGGAATGAAGGGAAGAATAGATTTAGTAGAAAGAAAAACCCAAAAATAATGGGGTCGCGATCTGATTATATTGGTTGTTTTGGTTGCCGACGGGCAAATTTTGCTGTGGTAAACGAGTCATTATATGAGAAAGAGTGTTTACTATCCCTAAATCATTGTATTGTTTCAACATAATTCTTCTTCTTCTTCTTTTGTTGACATAATTATTATTTTTATTAGAGAACATTAACATTATTATTATTTTATAACAAAAACGTTAATTCAGAATTAGAATTTTTCTGATAAAGATGAAAAGTGTGAGAAGGGGGGCATTTATACTTTCAAAATTTTACTGTGCAATAAATAATAGCTGCTAACTTTTGATCATCTCCTTTCTCATCATGCGCGATAATTTATTTATTGTTGTTTCTTTTTTTAAATTAAAATATTTAATTTTGGATTTCCTCCTTTTGCGAAGAAAATGTTTCCATACTCGGACGACAGCATTGTAACACACAATAAGCTACATAAAATTAACTCAATCAACATCTCCCATTTTTGTTATTTGGAAAATTGAAATCTTCAGCTTTGCATATTTAATCAGCGAAGGATCGGCGCCCGGCAAATCCTTTCCTAATTCAGGTCGTATTTTCCCACGCTCTTTCCTAAATCGATTTAAAAATATATATTTGGCGTTTTTTATGCGCCCTCAGACTAATTCCCGAACGAGGGGTAACAAACATCAAACATTTGGTTTGATAAGTAAAAAAAGGTATTTTTTGCCTCTATTTTTAAACCTATTGGAAAAATACCCTTATTGCTAAATATATCAGGGTTATTTATATACGATAGTTTTATTTAGGTGAACAGTTGTTTACCTTTCAATAAATAGGTGGGATCTGCTAATTATTTAGGAAACATATAAAACTTCTTTAAGATTAAGTAAATTTATAGATATAAAATAACAAGAACAATATATATCGTTCTTCCCGTTTATAATTTACGAAACGAAGTCTAGATCGAAATGCTTGATAGATCGTTAGAATCATTAGCTGAAAGATTCCTACCAACATTCAAAACATAATAAATTACAACTAGAAAAATTCTTCCCAAACAGTGGTTCTCCAAGATCAATACTACGCCTTGTCAACTATCTTATAGATAAAAATCCGAAATTTAGATTTTTTGAGCGATAAAATTGATTATCTTTAAAAAGTAGATTTGCCGATCATTTTTTATTATATAAAATTGATTTTTTAAAATCGTTTCTTTTTGTATTAAACGTTTAATCTAAGATATAATCTAAAAAGATTAACAAGATACAACGGTAAGTTATATATATATATTATTTTTTTTATTGTTAATTACTTCGTTAGTTTGATTATTATTATAACGTGATATTATGTGACTCATGCCAATAAAGTTTCACCTGCAAAGAATATTCATTGTATTGAAGTTATCTATTTTGATACACAATCAATGGTACTATTTTTAAATGCAGATCTTTTCATTTTTTCATTTTCAGGCAGATTATGTATGCCTTTTTGGGATGAAAACAAAATACAAATTAGTTGATTTTCAAAAAAAGCTTAATCAGGTGACCCGATGACGATCTTGGTTGTGATGTGGGATTATTTATGGTTGTTATTAAAATTAGCCACATTATACATATACTAGGGATCAGTTTCGAAAACCGTTGTTAAATTCGGAGCACACGTGTCAATTTTTTTGAGCCGGACAACGGGACATCTTGTGTCACCGGTCATAGAATTATATAGTCTCCGGACTAACTAACTACCTGATGGTGTTGCTTTTTGCGCGAATAGTCACGAGATACAAAAATAAAAATATCTCGACACATATTAAATTTCTTGGACACATTTCTTTAACTAATGTGAGGAGATTATTTTTTTACAGAAATTCTTTCCTAGATTAAATTTTCTTTATTTTTTTGTTGTAAACCATTCACTTTACTATTGTATAAATAAAATATATATCTATAATGGAAACGTTGATGTGTCATTTCCTCATTGCTTTATTGATTACAGTTGAAAGAGAATATAATAAAAATGTTTTCGAATTTCTAAATACATGTAAACAGTGGCTTAAATTCTTAAAAAAAGACCGCTAAAAAATACGACGTTAAAAAAAAAAATACGATAAAAAACTATAATCCAACCTATAAACCCTATTAACTATATACGGATGAAGATCTTGAGTTATATTATTACATATATTATTTTATTGTGCATGTAATTTCGTACACATTCTCATCCTAAATAGACCACTCAATCTTATCGGCCCAATAACTATATAAAATAGGGTGATTATTTATCTGGGGAAAGGGTATACTATGTCGCTGCCCTAAATATAAATCCAGCATCGAAACGTAGAGCACATCATCTATCAACTGAGGCGAGAAGACGTATTCCCGCAGAAAACGACATGATGTTGAACTCAACGATAGAATATGTAACATTGTGGATAAATTGATCGTGTAACGTGGTGGCAATCAAATTTTTTTTTCGACAAAACGGTGTTGTGATTGTTTAATTTCGGATGTTCTTTTTACATTCGTAGCGAAAAGATTTTTTTTTCTTAAAAAAAAAAAAAAAAAAACTCGAGTAATACGGTAATCGTAAGTAAAGAAAGGAAGATTTTAGAAAAGAGCACCTCCATAAAATTGAGACGCGAACTGGTCATGTTGATTGTTTTGGTTGGTGACGGAAAAACGTTGCGGTGGTAAACGGATCATTCTATAATAGAAAGTATTTTTGTATTGATCCAATTGATCCAACAAAAATCTTTTTTTTCTTCTTTCGTTGACAATATTATTTTTTTTATTTGAGAGCATGATAATTATTTATATGCAAAAAAAAAATTATTCGTTAGCGGTTTTAGAGGTGGGAGATGAATTTTTTCCACAAAAAAAAAATTTTTCACCTGAAGAAGAGGCGTATTTATATAAAATTTGCCAATATTGGCAATCATAAAACCTTTCTATAAAGAAAAGAAAGACGAATCATTAGCAAATCATATGATCCATCCAATGTGACCTACCTTTTTATATAAATACGTTATATACAATATATAACAATATCTATTGTGAATTGGAAGGTTTTCTAGGAAAATGGGGTTCTGAGAATTTTTTGACTAAAATTTCATACTTATTGCATTTTAATCTAATATACTCAAAAATCAAAAATGCAATAAAAATTAAAATTTTATTAAAAAATTCTCAGAACCGCATTTTCCTAGCAAACCTTCCATTTTCCATTTTGTTAATGTTACACTTAAGTGACGGTTCGTTTTCTGATTATATTGTTGAATTATCAGTTATACATTCTACACATTATACACATTATGTAATAAGCATTTAACTGGGTTGCTTATGTAAAGAACCATACTTATAAAATTATGCCCCGGTATCTATTTATGCCATAAAATGTGTTTATTTGTTCTACATTTTTGGTCTAGTCTTTTAAAAAAATCCTCATCAAATGACTACGAGTTAGTATTATTATGTTATTACTTAAGTTAGAACATGGATTGTCAATCAAGTGACAAAGAACGGATATAAAAGACTGAAGGCCTTGATGAAATTTTGATTCCTACAATAAGAAAAAAAGTGAACAAGTCACGAATACATCGAATATTTATATAATTTGAGATATACTTATCTGATTTACATTGATGGAAAATCTAGGAAGAGATAGGGATCTTTTGTGCATATAATATATTATGTAAACATAAATATATGATTATCATATTATCATGATATTTCTTTATTTCGTAGAAATCTTAGAGCACGTGATTTAAGGTGACTTTAATAGTTATTATAGTGATTATGTGATATTAATGTCTAATAAACCCTAACCCTAATATAACATTAATACCAGACTTAATCTTCTAATCCTCTAACCTCTAATACCAACTAATATTAATATAACCAGTTTTAATATAACAAATTAATTAATTAGAATCGGAATAATAATACTAAAAATTATAATTAATACAAAAATAAATAAATTAATGTTGAGAACACCATTAAAGAAAATCTTTTTCAGTTTCTAAAAAGGATTGTAAATAACCTAATAGCTTTGTTACTTGATAATCTATTGGTTTTAGCTTTTTTAATATGCCATTTGCATAGTTGAATTTTAGCGCGTGACTATGTAAAACAAATGGTATTAATTTGAGCATTTATTTGTCAAAAAGAATAGGATTCCCAAAGAAAAATGAATAATCTAGACTTAGCAGGAATGAGTTGATGTAAGGCATATTTTGTGTGTAATATTTTGACGAGAAATTAACATCACAAATTTTTGACGTTAAACACTGGAGTCTGCGATTATAGAATTATGTGGAAATTATATGCATTTATAGATATATATAAGGATCAAATTTTTGTAAATTATGTTTGTGACTATTGTAATGCGACCTAGGATCTTAGGATATATTACTAAATCATGAAATTAAATATACCTGGTGGAGGGTATCATAGCCCCTGTAACCATAAAACTCTTTATATAATGCGGTTTTGTGTATTACGACCATGAACTCCACAAGAGATTTTTTTTTTCGGTTCAGGCGGTTCAGGCAGTCGAGGCGATAGTTATTTTTATATAAAGTTATCCGCAATAATATTGATGTCTGTGATGAATTATTAAACATAAACATAATGGATTCTTTGGTGATCGTGTAACGATGCACAAGAACGAAAAGGATGTGGTTTGTTCTCCACGAACTTTTTTGTGATTCCTTCGGCAACCGATGATTTTTTTAAAAAATAATTCGAATTATACTGTTCACGAATAAAGATAAGAATATCGTAAGAAGTAAAGGAAATAAAAGATTTAGAAAGGAGTTCCTCCATAAATTTGGGCCGCGAACTGGTCATATTGGTGGTTTTGGTTACCGGAGGGCAAAATTTGCGGTGGCAAACGGGACATTCTATAATACAAAGTATTTACACGATTGTATTGGTCCAACAAAATTCTTCTTCTTCTTCTTTTGTTGACCAAATTATTTTTTTTATTAAGCATGATTATTATTTTGTATGTGACAAAAAAAAATATATTCATTTGAAGGGAAGAAAAAAGGGCCTGAAGGGGTCATATTTATAAATTTTGAAACTTAGTTAAAGATTTTTATTTTTAACATACCATTTTTTGAAATACAGTATATGCATTCTTACTTTATATTAATATAAATAATTAGATTAACGTAATATATTTATTTATATTTGGGATGTACAATTCTAATAGCATGTAATTCTATTTTTTCGTTTACCCGGTAAAATATGTCAGAGTATTATTTGAATGTAAGGGATTAAACTTTAAATGGGTAGAAAAAAACTTGTTTTTGACATAATTTACAACAACGTGCCGTGCCTTACAATCATGCATGCAAGCTGTCACCGGTCATGTCGATCATCTTTGATAATCTAGTTCAGTGGATCACAATAGAAATCACTATCCAAAATTGGAGTGGATTCTTAATCCAAAACCTTGTTAAAGTTATTATTTAATTATTTGATTTCTAAAAAATGAATCCGATTTGATCTTGATTAAATAAAAAATAGAACTTTATGATATCTCTATATAGATGATAGATTTAGGATTCATTTAGATATTTAATTTTTTATAATAGCATGTACAATAATAGCATGTGTTATTTGTGTTATTATTGAGCAATAAAAAGATCTATTAAATTTTTTTTTTTTTTTAGTTGTTACAATTACTGTGTTGGTTTATTATTATTATAATGTGATTATCCCCATCTGTCAAAGAAAATTTATTATATTGAAGGTTTTCACATGCAAAGAAAATTTCATTATATTGAAGCTATCTATTTTTAGATACTCAATTTTAAATGCCGATTTTTTTTGATGACGTATCAAAAAATCAAATATATTTGCGCAGTACATAATTGATGTTTTTAGAAATTCAGCTCGAAATTCATTTTGTTTTCTTTATGTTATCTATATTACTAGAGCGAAAACTTCAATATTTTTGTTGGGTTGGATCGGTCCGGTTCAAAAAGACCGTTCTTTCATCTATTTTGGGCCGGAGTCATTCTTTGGACCGGTCTAAAGATCGAACCTAGTATAGATATTTATATATATAAGTTATTCTTACATTTATAAATTTTTACCATTATACTTCGCAACTATTATGCGGGGCAAAACTCATTTAGCAAATGTAGAAGATGGTAGGTATAGCTGAAATAGTACAAGTCTTGACGATTTTATAGATTTTATAGTTTCGGTTGTAACTAAGAGTAATGACGCAAACTTTATCACCAAACAATTATTTATAGCTTTGCATGCATATAATTATATATCTCATAAATTATGGACCGGTCCAGGCCGGTTTTCAGAATTAGGACCTGTCCTATTAACCGGTCTAAGATCGATTTTACCAGAACCGATCTAACCCTAGAAAGACCTTATATGAAATGGGGGTAGGTAATGGAAAAAATGGCAGAATTGCTAGAAAAGGTAAAATCATAATTTTTTTTTGTGTATATTTTACTAAATATAGTTTCGTTATTATATACATACGCTTACAAAACACAAGCCGACGATTAGTATTTCGGTGAATATCAAGAAATCAATATGTCTGAAAGACTAATTAGAACATCCAAAACGCGGAAAATTAGCAATTGATTATATTCTTTTAGAACCTAGACCAACATACCTTGCTTGTTATTGCTTTGTAGAATATTTGAATGATTTGATGATATTTGATGTAAAGGTAAATTAATTTTATTGATTTTGTTGGTTTTTGTTTTACCTGTATGAAACGGATAAAAGGATCAAATAGTAAAACTTATCTATGTTTTCTAGCCGTGTGATATTAGAATCGGCAAGTTCACAAAACATGATCAACAGGAATTATATTTCAGTTTCAATTTTGTCTTGCCACAAGCGTCGCGAAGATCGAAGTGGAATCCTCAGGAAAGGCAAGTTTGATTAGGTTCATGTACGAAAAACGAAGCGGTCAGCGAATAATTACTAACTTTACTTTACACTTTGTCTACAGTCCAAAGATCAATTCATTGTCAATTGAAAATCCGGTTAATCTGCGTTTCCTATAAAAACACAAACCAGAAAAATATTAGTCTCCTGTACTTACTGTATCTTTGGTTAGATGATTTCTGGATTGATTTGTAATTGAGAATTTTCAGTTGAAAGGCAAATCAATCGCAGGATTGGCGAGATTTACCATAAGCACCATAAGCACCAGTGTTGGAATTGAATTGGACTCATTCTAATTGAGATTTTGAACAATTGGATATAGTCCAATTGTCCAAACTAATTTCAACTTGCCAAAGTATTAGTACAGTCCACCATGATAGCCCGTCAACCAGTGATCGTAGAAAGATCGTCATAATGATCTGCATCGATGATAGATATTTCAAAATCTTTTCTAAATAACTTTTGATTTAACGGTGCTAAAGGTATAATTTACCATTCGACGCAGATTGTTATGATGATTTTAACGAGCTATGTGTCATCTTCCTATGATCAATGGTTGACGGGTTATCATGGTTTACATTGCTTGAATTGGGACTGTACCTAATACTTTGGCAAGCTGAAATTAGTTTGGAATTGATATAATTGTCCAACCACATCCTTTAAATGGGACAAAAGTATTGCACAGTTTTGATTTAGATATTTTAGTTAATGTATCATATGTAACTGAGCATATTTTTTTAATAACATATTTGCTAGCTTATGCTTAATAAAATTAATTAATTATTTTGTTTAAATTAAAGCATTGCAAGGTGTAAAATCAAAAATTTAAAAGCTCATTACTTTTTCAATTTTTCGCGTGAACTAAGCTTCGCTATAGGATTCAATGTTTGGCTTTTTGGATGTTTCTCTTACAAAGAAACCAAATTATACTATCACTTGCGCTAAATCGAAATTTGTGAGTATTTTCAAATTTGATTTTACGAGTTTCAACATAATAATCTAAACTATAAATAAAAATATTTCATTTATGCAATCGATAGCCAATATGTTACTAAAAAATTATGATTCAGTTACATATGATATATTAACTTAAATATCTAAATCAAAACTGTGCAATACTTTTGTCCCCTCCCGGCAAGATGTTAATGATATATTTGTAGATAATTTAGAATTATGTAGTTATTTGAATAATTTTGTATTTTGTGAAAATTAATAAATAAATTTTAAATTTTAAAATGTTTTATAAATTGTCCAATTGTCCAATAAGTCCAATTGCAAGGGCTACCATGGCCCTACAATGATGGAAATTTCAATACAGCTATTATATGGAAATTCCACATTCTCAATCCAAATACTTCGAAGCTAGAAAAACTATAATACTATCAAATCCTTACTTCTTATCCCATCGCTTTGGAATTACTTAGCTTTTTCGACGCGGAATTTTTATAATATCAAGCATATAATGCAAGAATGCAGAACTTAACTTCCATTCTTCATCTTCGTTTTGTTTCCGAAAAATAGGCAGGATGATTTGTAGATGGATCTTGGATCACAAAGTCTTTCTTTCCACAAGTGATGAAGCTTCGAGGATGTGTTGCAAAGCAACGACACTTCTATACCATATCTGTCTATGGAGATATCGAATTCATTATTAATTTCATTACCGGTCGTCGAATAAGCTCGAAGCCCAATAATCGGATTCGGAATTTTTAAGATCACGTAAGATGATTTCAGCGTAATTTTTTTCGTATTATAAGCCTGTAAAGAAATAGCTATGAAAAGAATCATTAATATCTATATGCAAAAGCAGAATGGTAACAAGGGACTAATCCCTTTTGCATATCTTTTATTAACCTCTACAACGATTAATAATGAAAATTAAGATCCAGCTGAAAGGCAAAACTGATTAACAGATTATCGAATTATCACCATATCACCATAATCCCACCACATAACAACCCTAGCGTCGCCATGAAAAAATGGTAGCCGTATAGATCGAAGTGAGGATTATGATCTGTACAATATATAATAGCGTTTAACTGGATACTTGATGGGATTGTAAATAAAATGCGATATAAAATTATGCCACGGCATCAGGGTTAATGTAAGTTACCGTAAGTTAACATTAGAATTAATGTGAATTACCTTTAATAGTAGGCTGACATTAATTTAATTTTGGCCAAAATTAATAAAATTAAAGTAACAAATTATAAAAATCATAAAGTATATTTAGGGTATATAAATTTATTATATTATTTATTCATTAATATCATATTCAAGATCATTAATATTATCATCACTATTTAAATCGCTTGTATTAAAATCCTGCTCAAAAATTAAATTATCAAATTGATTATCATTTCTAAATTCCAAACTATCCTTTTCTGCAATACTATCTAATTCATTTACTATATTTGTTTCTATTTTTTCTTTGATTTCTCTTAAAATCTTCATATTCCAATAAAGATAAACACATTTTTCAACTCTCTGATTTAACATTCTATTTCGTAATTTATTATTAATAAAACTAAATGTTGACCAATTGCGTTCGCTAGCTGTTGAAGTTACTGGTATTGATAATATTTTAAGAGCAATAGTACTTAATATAGGATATCGTTTTGCAACTAATTTCCACCAATTAATTGGTTTTTTGGTTATATTACCCCATAAATGTTTATTTGAAAATCCACCTAACTTTCCTATATATTCTGAATATTCTACAATAATAGCATCATGCTTATTTTCAGGTGTCATTCGAATAATTTCTTCTAAAATTCCATCCGATTGTGTAGGATTAAGTAATTCATCACGATAATATGGATCAAGGTTGCAAGCAACCATAATAATAGGATTATAAAGAAAATCATTCCATTGTGATTTTCCAAATTCAATTGCTTTTTGTTGAATATTCTTAGGTATTTCAGAATTTTGAACAATTGATTTTTCAATTTTTAGAAGCTTTAAATATATGTAGAAAGACTTAGTTAATCAGCTTGCAATTGATTAATAAATATTATAAATGGTTCCAAAAATCATGTAAAATTCGTAATTCCCTCCAAAAAGAATCATCAAGAATTTTTTTTTTAATTAATAAATTCATTTCAATTTCTTCTTCATTAAGCGTATTAAGAAGTGCAACTTTTGTTTTTAAAAGATTACTAATACAATAATATGCTGATCCCCATCTTGTTTGTTCTGGTAATAATAATGCAATATGTGTATTATACTTTTCCATTTGTAATCGATGTAAAATAGCGAGAGAAACTTGATGTTTTAAATAATAATTAATTATATATTTTGCGGATTGGATAATATTTTTAGACCATTCAAGTTCCATAATATCTTTAATCCAAAGATTTATACCATGAGCCCAACAACCCAAAAATATCAAAAAAAAAAAAATAAATGTAAATAAATTTTATTATTAAATAAAATCGAATTTGATTTTCTAAAAATTTAAATACCTTATCTGGAAATTCTTGTTTAAGAATCCTCCATGCAGCCTTCATATTTGGTGCATTATCGGTAATAATAGCAACAATTTTTTCTTTACCAACTTCATTAATAACTTGTTTAATTCCTGCTGAAATCTTATCTGCAGTATGACGTTCTTCATTTGAAGGAATTGATTTATAAAAAAGTGGTTGAGGAATTGTAATCAATATAATTTACAATCGAAGTTTTATTTATATTTGACCATCCATCACTTGTGAGACATAAGTACTCTTTTTTTTCTAATACATTATCTACATCTATTTTTAAGGAATTATATTCAACATCTAAAATAGTATTTGATAAAGCATATCGTGATGGAACCTTAAATGCTGAACATGCTTTTTTAAGAAACAAACGAAAATCAGGATTATCAACTACATTGAAAGAAATTCCAGCTGAATAAAATGCACGAGCCAAAAGTCTTTCCATTTCCTCTTGATCTTTTGGTCCAAATGAATATGCATATCCATTAAGAGTTGTTTGTTGTCCTAGTTTACGTTTAGTTGATGGTGCTGGTCGAGGTGGTGGTGATGAAGAAGTGGGTTGATTTACACTTTTCTGATATTTTTTTACAACTTTCCAGATGTTTTTTTAAACGACTTGCATTTTTAACCCATTCTTTACCACAATGTATACACTTCCATTTTTCACTAATCCCATCTAACACTTGCTCAAACTGACTCCAAAAAATCCTTTGGGTTTCGGCATTATATAAAGTTTTTTTACAAGGAATTTAAGGGGCGACAACAAAAAAAGGAAATTTCAGGAGTAAAACTATAAACTTGAATTTTGAGCTATAATGTTCTATTATCGTATATTTTATTAAAAAAAAAAAAAAAAAAATTTCATTTTAAAATGTTTTTTTTTAAACGGAACTATTGAAAAAAATTTAAAAGTTATTTTGACAAAAGTTTAATGTCGATTGTTTTATAATGCTAATAAATAAACTATCTAACCCTGTTTGGCGAGTTTCGGAAACATGTATCTTACCGTAACTTACGTAAGTTACGTAACTTAAAATTCCGAAACTTACGGTAATTTTACAATCCTGCTTATGAAATTTTGATCCAGCCGAAAACAAAAACCTAATAAAAGAAAAATACATGAACCCTATCTAAATTAAAATGTAATTATTTGATTTGTCAGAAAAATTGTAAGTTGAGCAACGGAGTCTTAAATTTGACCTTAGGGCATTAAAAACTTTTTTCAATAGAAATAAGTATTATGATTAATATTCGTTGTATAATCTTAGAAATTGACAAAGGTTTCCAATGCAATCGACAATCTTAGAAGACTAAAATATTATTTTGTTAATGTTTGTTTTATTAATCAAGTAGGAAATAATCAGTGCATTTCAGTGAATCTGAAAATAGAAACGATGGAGGTAACGTTAAAATAAAGATTTTAAAGAAAAAAATTTTTTTATTTATAATGGATCAATTTATGGAATCTAGGAAAAAATTAATTCCTTTTTATTAATAGAGAGAGAGTTATATCATATAAAAAAGACTCAATAGTTATATTAAGGATCGAGTCGTGAATAATAATGTGAGTTTGAGAATTAGTATAGAATATTCAATTGATCAGATCATAGCTTATGAAGGGGGTTTTTTATTTATTTTTCACCATAAAAAAATAAAAAAATCTTTTATTAGAATATATATTACAATTTTTCGATCATTTTACAGAATTATACAATTTTAATTATTCACTATCTGCATTAAAACCTATTATCCATTCAAAATACCCTTTTTAAATGCATTTAAACTCGAAAGTTATTGGAGAAAAGTGCTTGTTTATTTAATTTTAAAATGATAACATCGTTGATTTACATAATCTTACTTTTAAAAAAAAGCAATTTATTGCATGTATAAGGATCATTATAATCTAAGGTCAATATCTCCAGCTATACTCGACAACTTCCTTTTAAAAACAAAAAAAGTAGTCTTGAGAGTTTTTATTATGAGAAGTTTGATTGCAAATTCATCTATAGAAGAGATATCAATTGGTGTATTTTGTTGAATTTCGCGATGGCATTCGTTAGAATCGTTAATATAATATCTTTTTTTGAAAGGCATTTGTTAAATAAATGAAGAGTGTGAAAAGGTAGTTTCTTAATTTAGATAGAAAATAATATCGAAAATGATCGCATTCAACTGATAAAACACACGTTTTTGAGGTTAGATCATAAAATATAAATATAAGACCGTTCATATTATGATATTATAATCAAGTTTAATCCCAACCCTATAACTCTATAACTTACGTCACCTGACCTATTGTCAACTGCGGCCAAGTGACGTATTATGTAGGATTTGAAGTTAAAATTATTTTCATTTCAAAAGTTATCCCGATGCATGAGAGAATCCCGTGATGATTTATTAAACCCATACATTGTTATTTTTTGTGGTTGTGTAATATAACACAGTTGCGTAAGAGCGAGCGGTTTCTCTACGAACAAAGAACAACCGTTTTTTTTGTGATTCCTTCGGCAAATCGATTGTTTGTGTTTGTTTAATTTCGACGAATTTTAGCGAAATGATTTTTTTTCAAAAAAAAAAAAATTCGAATAATACTGTTCACGAATAAGAAAGATAAGAGTATCGTAAGAAGTAAAGATAAGAAAAGATTTAGAAAGGGGCTCCTCCATAGAATTGAACCGCGAACTGGTAAGCTTGGTTGTTTTGATTCCCGGCGGGTAAAATTTGCCGTGGCAAGCGGGACATTATATAATAAAAAGTATTTACACGATTGTATTGGTCCAACAAAATTCTTCTTCTTCTTCTTTTGTTGACCAAATTATTCTTTTTATTAGAGATCATTATTAAAAAAAAATTAAAAACGAAATTTCCGCAAAGAAAAAAAAAATCCTACTGAAGAAGGCATTTTATAACTTTTTCAAATTTATTCATAGTAGATGCAAATAATGAATTGAAACATATGTTTATTTGATTTGTAATTTGAAAAAAATCGTTAATAATGTATTAATAATGTTAATTTAGATAATTTCTTCTTGTCCAAAAGTGATTTTCAAACATAAAGTCGTGCAAAATTTGATTGGCTGATACAATCAAAGGAAAATCCATGCTAAAAACGAATTTTCAATTTAAGTATCATTTGATATTGATTATTCTCAAATTAATCTGTCCTCCAATCTGCGTGTTGTTGTTGCCCGTATTGTTTATAAATAGAAAAGATTTAGGATCCGCTTATTTCATAATAGGAACAAAAAAACTGATTTTAATGACTTTTGTCACTACTGGATTCAAAATCTAATTAGAGTCAGCCGATTGTGGAGTAAGGACTTAGAAAAGCTTTCCTTGATTAAATTTCCAGCGATGAGGGCCTTTTATTGTAAAGCAATTTCTTTTCTATCGTAGATAACGTAGAAAATAAAAATAAAAATAAAAATGAACACGTTGATTATGCGTTCTTTCATCAAAACTTTATTGATTGCAGATTTTAAATAATATAAAAAAAATGTATTCAAATTTCTAAAATACATGTTGTAAACAGTGACTTTAAATTGTTAGATTAAAAAGACAAGAACGCTAAAAATAATACCCTAAATAAAATATAATGAGTAAAAGATTAATTACTTATTATCATTCATAAAAGAACTTTCTCGAAATACTGTAATCAAACCTTTTAGTTTACAATTAGTTCTAGAAGTACTCTTAATTTAAAGTCAAAAGTTTTGAATGTCATTATAAATTATTTATAAATTTTAACAAAAGTGAAAATTCTCCAATCGAATGAATGTATTACAAAAAAATTGACAAAAAAAAAAATTTTAATTTCACCCCACGTGTCCGGTGACTAACTAATTATGCTAACTCAAATTATGCCTGCTTTAAGTAAGATATGCAAGTATATGCGATAATTTTTTTATAAAATATGCTTCGTTTTTTTTTTTTTTTCAAAAATTCATCAAATTAAATTATTTAAAATATACTATAAATATACTGCCATTACAAATATGATTATTAAAATACAAAAAATTCAAAACAGCAATTAAAAAGGCATGCCGTCTATCACTAAGAATAATGGTTCACATCTACTCATATATTAGAAGCCAAATAAATATATTCTAAAGCTAATCTTGATAAATTTGGGAAGCTTTTAATGTTTTTCCAATAGATCAAACCCACCATCTTCAAACTCCTCTTCCAAACTACAATAATCGGGAATTCATGATCTTAATCTATAGATATTAACTGCGGATATGCTACATTCAATTAAATCTGCGGCAGCGAAAAATCTTAATTTTTGCGCATATCAGAATATGAATAGGGTATGTATGTAGCTGGTTGTGATTCCAAAAGAATCGGTTCAAACGAGTAGGATTAGGTTTAATGTATTATTATTTTTTCATAACTGTAGATAATAATATTCATACCGTCACTTTTATGGGTATGTTGTATGTATTGCGATCAGTATATAAATAAAACTTTGCGAAGCGCCTGGAAAAACGCCTTCGGCATAGCTATTTTTATCGAGGCATTGCATTGGTTAAAAAAAAACACTAGGAGAAACCCATTTAAAAATGAAAAAGTATTTTTATTGTAAATTGGCTGGCCAGCCGACTAAATGTGAGTGTTAGACATATAAGAGTTTGACATAAGATTTTTATCCCTTTATTTGCTATAAATTTATCTACTTTGATCCCACATCAGCTATTAGACCACACGCCAAGAGTTTCTATTGAAGGGAAGTATGACATGTGGATTGATTGTACGTACAATAAGACATAAAAAAAGACTTAAAGATAAAAACAGTCGAAAGACACTTTGCATATTCATGGCGCCCCAGGGTTTGCCACCTTTGTTTTTATGAAGTTAATATTTTATAAAAAGATCTTTTCTAAAGAAGATGTACGAACCCAATGAATTCTAAATGGACCTATAGCACTAAAAATGTCATACATTTATCTAGCTTTTTTATTTTATCCTTTGCTGTGGCTAAAGAAGTACCAGGCGGTAAATATATATAAACCTCCGTATTTAACTTATGTCGTGCCTTTTTTTGTCTGGATTCATTGAGAGGAATTATTAGTGCCAAACTAACAATGGGTGGGCCTTGCCAACTTTTCGTGTTAATTTGCGTAGGTTGATAATTATCCTGAGGGAGTACTTCTGCTCAGATTGTTGTCAACATCCATTACTTCAGTTGTCACCTCACGTATAAAAGTTAACAATCTTTCTTTTCTACTCATATCATTAAAGCCAAGTCGTTCGTTAATATAGTCTCGGCACTCTGGGCATCGTTCATTGCGGATTGTAGCTTTATGGCAACATCTAATGTAGAAAGCATGCCCATATGGGAACAAGGCAAGCTAGTTTATAATTCCCCCTTACATTCTAAACAAGGTTCAGCTCTCTGAGGAGGTTCGTTAGGTAGGGAAAAGATTAGGTGTCTCTCTACAGATAGAAATAGCGCGACGAATTCTTGAGACGCCATAAAAGGCTGTTAGTCTATTTATACTTACGGTACTATCTACTGCAGTATAAAGGCTTTGCTTATATGATCTAACTAAATAAGCGATTAGAATCGATCATAAATAAAAAAAGGGGAAATTAATAATATATTATCGTTCGGCCCTGACCATAACAAAAAGTTTAACAATAATTTATATATAAAGCTTAAATAAATTAATAAATAAAAATTTTAATTTTAATTTACTTTTCACCCGTTATTCTTAAAAGAATCGCCTCAAAAAGGCAAGTAATATCTTGTTAAAATTTTCATTAATAAAATTTAATTTTTATGTACTTTATTATTAAAATTTTCTATATTGCTCCGAAATACTAACCATTCAACAAGCTGAATATGTTCAATCAACAATTATTCAATCAATACTTAGATAAGTCTTTTCAGCATGATTTAAAAATAATACATTTTTAGAAATACCAACTCGCCATCATTAAATTCAGAAGATCCTCGCATTCCACTTCAAGAAAACAAAATATACAATTGGATGAAGATTCTTACAAATAAAATTTTTTAATTTTGTTCAATAAAAATGTAATATTACTTCATGTAATTGTACGATAATATATGTGAGACATACCCGCCGATTTTTTCCATATTTATCAAAAAGCAGGTAAATAAAAAGCCACAATGGGAAAAAAAAGAACAATGATGCAAGAAAAAGAATTTTATAGTAAAGTGTGTGTTGCTGGAAGCGTGAAATTTGTCATTGACAAAGCAAGTAAAGAAGAAATTGACCTGTCAGAAAGCGACAAATTTTCATGTAATCTAGCAACAATATTAGCAAGAGACAGAGAAGTGGTGGCAGTAAACTTGAAAATTTTAAACGACAAGTGTAAAGTTTACATCTCTAAGAACGGTGCATGGCTTGAGAGAGATTTTAAATATATCAACGAAATTAAAGAACTCATAACAAATATATCTAAAGATGCTCCCATGACATTCGAACAGGCGATTGAAAGAGATGATGTGGCTGCTTTATGTTATAATGTATTGGAGTACTGTTCCGTTAAGTTAGGATCTAGATTAAACAAACTTAAGAGAGATATAAGTAATAATAAAGATAAACCATATATCAATTCTTTCCTAGAATTTGCTAAGGTTGATAATTTAGATGAGATGGATGAATACGACATATCCACAATTTGTTGCGAGTATTATAAAAAAAACAAAAATTATTCTACAATTCCGGAAAAAATCCTAGGACACATCAAAAAGGTGGGATCTTATACTGGATCTGTGATAGATTTTGTAAATTGCGCACGTAAAGAAAAGTACAAAAACTCATTCGATTGTATAGATTTGCATTTATTGGATCCTATTTTTGCCGATCAACCCATATCTTCTTGGAATGATATTATCAAAAAGTTTATTCGTATTCCAAAGGACCTCGAAGATTTCAAGAAGAAATGTATAAAGAATAATGAAACAAAGGATAGACTAAACCGTATATATGGTGGTACAGATACACAATTGGACCGTGAAAAAAATAATCAACTATATTTACACGCAGAGTTGAACATATTGGCCAACATAATGGACCAGGATAAGGGAAATGATGAATTTATAGCTGTATCCAAGAAGTGTTGTTATTTATGTGAATCATATATCGAATTTGTCCGATTCAAAGGATATAAAATTTCCATTTCTGGAACACATAAGAAGTTGTATCACAGATGGAAGCTTCCAGAGGCTTTTAAGAAAGAATTCATGGAACATACACTATTTAACCTCGATCAGATCATAGAACGCGGAATAAAACAAAATAGTAGTATCATTGCTCAATCGGATAGTGAGGGAGATAGTGCTGATTCTGATATTAAAAATTATGTTGCTATAAAGTCAATGACTGAACGGGCTAAACTTAAACGAACCAATCAATGACTCAGATATTCAGAAATGTTGTTTAGTTAACAATTTTTTACTGTGGGAATAAGGGAATATTTTTATCAATAATACATTAAAATTAGCATATGCTACATTTAAAACGTTAACCATAATCTTAATTTTATTCTTGTGAATGAATTAACATTAGGGGTATTCTCAGAGGTTGAGAATAATTGAATCTTTTTTCTCACCTTCTCTTTCTCATTTCATTACTAATCTTTTCCTTATATACCCGAATCTATAAATTCATCATTCTCTTACAATGTGCAGTATAGTCTTTTCAGTTGAATTCTTTATGCTATAAATAAATTACATAATTTGGCTTGTAATCGTGATACATGACAAAATTTTCTATACTAATATACATGATTATTGAGTAGAACTTCGTATTTTTTCACGATTATTTTGATGATCATGTTCCGGGTTGGTTGCGATCGTGACTTTTATTTGAACAAAGAATATGCGAATATGAATTACGTGTATTATAAGGTTATTGATTATAGAAAATTGAAACTTTTGGAATTTTTTTGTATCATTTTAGGAATAACGATTTCTGGTTTTTCGTCGTACCATACTTCAAGAAGGAAAATTCCATTATCTTGACACATGTATCTCTTTTTTACCAATCACGATTAACAATATCTTCGAGTTTTTTGACATCTTTATACCAGTTAGCGTTATGAAGCCAATGCTGAGCCCTTTACACCTCCAATGCAATTCGATATTTTTGGAAGAAGGCATCAAGCTCTAACTAATCCTTGACAATTAAATGTAAGTTTATATACTTATTATAATAGTAATGCTAAAAAAGAACTTTCTTATTATACATCAAATATAACAAAAGAATCAGTAATTGAATTATTACAAGAAATAAATACTGATGCAATGGATGAAGCAACAATTAATGAAGAATTACCATCTCTAATTATTGATTTTTCTGATGCTAATCATCCATCTGAAAATACTAGAGTAGCATGTGCTGCCCAATTATTCTCACTGTACTTCAAAGATAGATAAGGAAATTGCTCTAGCACTAATCCAATTAGATGTTTTCGCTCCTCTTCTGGATCATCAGGTAAAATAAAAATTGGGAATCTGGATTTATTAGATGACATTATCTGACTGAAGGAAGATGTAGATAGTACACTTACCTTAGCTTTGGGTGAATTGACTGGACTGAATCCTGAAGAATCATCTGAAAAATCTTCTGAAGAATTAGAGACACAAGCTAATATAGTTGGAATGCTTACCTTAGCTAGCATTGGTATAATTGTTGCATTTACTTCAGGAATGCTAGTCTCATAATTTTCGGTCATATGATTTTGTTCTTGACCAGTAGTCAGTATGTTACGTGAACAATTGTTCACACCGATCAATTTTTGAGATTTGATTAGTTCATCAGTATAAAGATTTATTATATTCTGGATTTATGCATCAGTTAGCCTAGAGATCACATCAACGCTAGATATAACTACTCCAACTTTATCTATTCCTATTCCTTTAAATAATGTATAGATGTTTTTAGTCTTTTGTGTCATCTTACGCAAATACTCTCTCTTTTTACCAGGGAGATACAATTCCATTTTATCATAAATCTGCGTTCTTGCCATTTGATCGCTATTATTATTTTAAAACTAAGGGTTAAAACCTTTTTTTGTATTCCTCGCTATAGTAATATCATTATAACTTCTCTTTCTGACCAGTTTTTTAGCCTTGTCGAATAAATGAGCTAAATGAGATATAGAATCTGAAGTTAGATCAGTGTCGACTGAAACATCTGGAATATGTTTTCTAGATATAGAATTCAGTAAGAACATAGAATTATCACATCTAATAAATTCAAGTAATTTGCATATTAAATCTTGTTCTACTTTCTGATTATAGGAAATTTTTTGAGCAGAGTGTTTTGCTTATTTCCAAAAGTTAATTTCAATTAACAGGTCATTGCTGACTCTACAGATGATTCCTTTGGAATCGATTCTTCGACTATCTATTTTGAAAGAGTTACAAGTTCAATGCTAGTTGTAGAGAGGTCTGCTATACAACTGGTGTTAATTGCTGGGGATGATTCCTGAACAATCAATTCACATTGAAGCTTTTTTCCCTGCTTTCTTTGCCTAATATCATTACTAACCTTTTTCTTATATACCGTATTTAAGAAAGCATCCGTTTTCTTATCCTTTAACAATCCCCTTGATAATTCATTTTAGTGATCCCTCTTTGATCTGCAGGGTTTACACTATTTGGGCTGAGCTATACCTGAGTCAGATATATTGGCAGATTCTTTGGGAATAAAATCACCTATTTTATTATCTTTTATTGACTTGACATCATTTTGCTGGTCTATTACAGAGTCAAATATATCAACGGCTGATACCTCTACTATTACTTCCTTACCATTCTGTGGTTACTTATTTACTTCAGTAATATTCTGTTCCAATATTGCGAGTCTGACCTCAAGCTTTCTGACTCTAAACTTGAGTTCAATATTCTCAACATTACGCTTGGCATCTTTCTCCATAACCTGCTTTAGAAGTTCAGCATTCTTAGCTTCAATCAGTTTCAAACTTAGCATTCTTAGCTTCAAGCTCGCTAATATGCTATTTTAATAATTCAAGCTCTGATGACATGATTTATAACTAATACACTATATATAAGCATTCAAAATAAAAAAATCATATGCGCGTGAACAATTGTTCACACTGATCACTTTTGCCAAGAAAATTTATGTAACTTTGGAAGAATATCTTTTAGAAAATGATTATTTGTTTACACATTTCAGGACCTTTATTTTCAGCATCATTGAGTAAATTTACCACTATTTCTGTAGTTATTAGTTGATGTAATATCGCAACTGATCCACAGCTTAACCATCCTTTTTTATCTTGTCCCATTAGAATGATAAAATCAGTTATGCGAGTATCTATTTTATTTCTATAATATTCTGCTTTGGAGACGAGTCCATCTTGACTGGATATATCATAAAATGCCTTCATATTAAAGAGTTTTCTCATTAAGGAGTGATATGCCTTTTCTTTTGGATCATCGCATTGGTTTTCAAGCTTAATCGAAAGATTAGTAAAGTTATCAATCCAAGACATATCTTTTGATATATGATAATACTTCATAAACTTCATCAACTACTGTATAACGCTGACATTAGTACCTCCTTTGCAAAATATTCCCTTTGAATAGTAACGGATACTATTCAATCACTAAAAATAAAATTTTTGATTAATACTGGGGTACTAATAAATTAACCATTAAATTAATAAATACGTCAATCAAATTTACCGCAACGATGTTAATCAATTTGATCGATTATAATATATTAAACATAAAAATCAAAATTTATTATTATATTTTATACTTTATCAATATTAAATATCATTATTTATTAAGTATACATGATTATTATTTAAATCCATTCATTATC